GGCGGCCGAGGCCGTGGAGCCAGCCGCCCGCGAGCTGTTCGAAGCGTGCCGCAACGGGGACGTGGAGCGAGTCAAGAGGCTAGTGACCCCCGAGAAAGTGAACAGCCGCGACACAGCAGGCAGGAAATCCACCCCGCTCCACTTTGCCGCAGGTAACTGGGACCGACGTCGCCTGGCCTCGCCCTACACCCCACCTGCCCACCCTGGCTCTCAGGCCTGAAACCAAACACTGTGCTCCTCTGCCGCCAGCTGTTCCCCCCTAGGACTCCGGTGCTGGTCGTCTCGTTCTCATCGATTGGGGACCGAGGCGAGGACATAGGGCTAGGGGGCGAGCGTGCCCCACTCACTGGAATTTTTTTTTTTTTTTTTTGCTTTGTTTTATATCAACAATACCTGTACCAACTTCCGGTCTTGCTACTCCAAGAGCCTTACATACACAAGAAAGAGTAGGGGACGCAGTAGACCTTGTGGTTTGAAAGGCCAGTTATCTCCACAATTTATCGTTCTTGCAAGTTCCACGATAACTTTATCAATCCTTTGGGTTAGGGTCTTAAAGGCCTTTGTAAAATACAAGGATGTAATTTAGGAGGAATAGCTTAATTAGCCATTGACACATTAGTGTTAATGGGTTTATCAGGGTACTCAGTCATTAACAAGTTTCTGGAGAGGCTAGAACTGGAAATAGTCAAGTTTGGATGAACTGAGATCTGACTTAGGGTGGGTGGGGGCGGGTCGTGGCTGCCACATACACACAAGTTGGGGTGGAAAGTGGTAGGATGAGAGGAAAAGATGGTGGAGGTACTTTAGGTTGGATCTAGAATTGAAATTGGGACGAACCTCGCCTCATTCTGAGAGATCGTTTGAATTACATTTCCTTTAATATTTACTAGGTTGACTTTATGATATAAAGGTATTTAGTTTAATTGAAGAATTTAAAAGAACTAGGAATGAAATAGTTTATTTCCATAAAGCATTTATACCTTTCACTTGGAGAAAAGATCAGGACTATATTCTGAGGTGAGCTATGCATGATTGAAAATGGGAGTAGGTTTTCATACTTAACGATAATCATGGTTTTTTATTTTGTTTTACATGATTGTTTAAAGTAATTTTTTGAAAAAGCAGAAGGATACGTTTTAAAATGTTCCCTCCTTTTGGAGTAGAAATGATGAGCAGAGAAAGAGTGTAAGAAAAATTTCCATGTTCACAGACATTGCCTTTACTTGATTTGTTTGCTTTAACTTGTCCCTGTTTTAAAATCTAAATCCTACTAGAAGGTATGCTTTCTTTATCAGTTCCAACTTTATTGGGTTCCTATTTGGGGAGCCGTTGTAAGAGGAAGGTTTGGTGGGAGAACTAGAAACAGCCTGTGGGCAGCAGAAAGGGAAAGGAGAAAAATACTGAAGTCAGATCTCACCTGTTTGCCATTTTGCCTAAAATTTTAGTGATCAGTGCTATCTTTTGTCAGCTAATTTGGATTGTCCTGTTTGGCCATGTAGTCAACGTTTAAACAACCGATTTGGCAAATTGTCGTAACCAACTGATAAGTAATCCAAAGGGTAGTGTTACTTAGATTCTGTTCACTTGATCTGTGGGATAAAAATAGCCAAGCAAGATCTTAGTTGCTACCTTTCAAGAATTTGGTGTATTAATGAGTTCATATCTGAAAATAGTAATATTTAGAGGTTATGGGATTAGCTTCTTATTGACCTTGTTCCTCCTCCACCATCCCACTCTCAGTTCTTTCCCAACATTTCAAAGTACTTTTTTACATGGATTTCATGTGGCTGTGACTGAAATGGAAAATTTGTTTTTGGAACCAGCCTGTCTCACTGTTTATCCAAATTATCTGGTAAGAGGTTATACAACTGAGAATTTAAGGTGTAAAAGGAGAGTAAGAAAATAAAAGTTGCTAATGGTGTACATTAAACCAGAGCGTTAAAAGCCCTGCATTTAAACCCAGGCATATAAGAAACTTTTTAAAAAATTAGCTTTGTAAATTCAATCTGAGTTAATTAATGAGAGAACCTATTTTAATTTTTAAATAAATGTATCCAGCTGCATTTTCTCTTATATGTGGAAAATAAATTTTATAATCTCTTGTAGACAGTGAGCTGTCACTCATATTGGTGTGCATATAAACATGCCATTGGAAGCTCAGTGTAGGTGTGGGGACTGTGGAACTGCTTGATGAAGCAGTTCCTGGTGTTTGTACATCGTAGGGTAAGCTGTGGAGGGAAATTCTTTTTTTTTTTTTTAACCAATTAAAGTTTGGCAGTTTTATGGGGACAGGACACATTTTTGTCTTTCTGTTTTGATTTCCAAGGAATAGGAATGAGATCTGTGCAGACTAAGGAAATGAATCATGATAGAACAGTTTAGGAAAAATTTGGTTTGTCTTCTGATGTAAAATATTTAGTTAAATTAAAAGAAGGGGCGCCTGGGTGGCTTAGTCGTTAAGTGTCGGCTAAGTATCTGCCTTCGGCTCAGGTCATGGTCCCCTGGGATCCAGCTCCCTGCTCAGCAGGAAGCCTGCTTCTCCTTCTCACACTCCCCCTGCCTGTGTTCCCTCTCTAGCTGTCTCTCTGTCTGTCAAATAAATAAATAAAATCTTTAAAAAAAAAAAAGAATAGGCACTTGCTCCCAGTAGTTAACTTCCAAGGAGTTAAGTTCTGTTAATGAAAAATAATCAACATAAATAGGAACTTTTTTTCTATTGGGTGCTTTTTACTCTTAAACTAGATTGCATTTCTAATAGATAAATATGATTTAAGAAGCCATTTGGTTTGTTTGTTTGTTTTAAGATTTATTTATTTATTTTAGAGAGAGTGAGAGAGCTCAGGGTAGGGGGTGGCAGAGGGAGAGAAAGAATCTCAAGCAGGCTCTTCGCTGAGCTTGGATTCTGATGTGGGGCTCAATCTCATGACCCTGAGATCATGACGTGAGCCAGAATCAAGAGTTGGACACTTAACGGACTGAGCCACCCAGGCGCCCCTTCAGAAGCCATTTCTTATGAGAAAAATTGTTTCCTCTTCAGTCCCCCACCACACACAGAGGATATGAATGATTTTTTTTTGTAATACATCACAAAACCTGTAGAGGCAAGTTGATAGATAGGGAGGCTGCAAGTCTAATTTTGCCGAAAGTAATAGCATCTGAAATTCTTGACAGTATAATCCCCTAGAAAACAGCAGATTTCAGTAAAGGAGCTTGGTTCTCTATGAATTTATTTCTGAAAAATAAAGAAGAGAGACAAAAACTTTGGGAGAAAGTCATGTTGTTTGTCATAGCCAAAGAAAGAAATATGTAGCATTCTCTAGAATCTTAGAATGGGGTTGGGGGTGGTGATAGAATTCCATGGCTTCGGTCTTTGGGGTGTGCAGAGAGGTATCACTCAGTAGAGAAATATGTAAAACATTTATTAGGTTTAAGGAATTCACATGTAGAGATGATGGAAAGAGATGAGGTACATATTTATATGTTACTAGACAATGACAAGTTGAAAAGAGCTTGTATTGTAGAGTTCTAGCTAAGCAAGGTAACACTTGTTTTGTATTTATATGCTACTCAGCTATCTACATTGGACTAAACCTGAATTTCAACTATTATATTCAGTTTTGTGTGAATTGCATGTAAAAGGATTTTGGGGGGGTTGGTGTCTGTTTTTGTTTTAAAGATTTATTTATTTGAGAGGGAGATGGAAAGCGTGCTAGCAGAGGGGAGGGGCAGAGGGGGAGAGAGACAGAATCTCAAGCAGACTCCCCACTGGGTGCAGGGCTTGATCCCATGACCCTGCACTGAAAGGAAGAGTCCAGCCGCCCAACCAGCTGAGCCACCCAGGCGCCCCTTTTTTTGTTTTTTATTCAGAGGAGGGAAGTGGAATTAGAGCATCTGGAATTTATTATAAAAGCAACAGATAGAAAACTAGAGTCACTTTAGAGATGAAAGAAGACTACGGTTAGACAATGTGACTGTCTTCACATATGCAGAAGACAAGTATAAAAGTGAAGTGGGTATTGGATATGAGTTGTGTGGCTTGGGCAATCAAAACCAGCGCCAGTAGGTGAAAGGTTACAAGGAGTCAGACTGCCTTTAATAATCTGTTCGACTGTGGAATCGGCTGGAAGTGTCCAAACAATGGTTGGAACATTGGCATCTTTCGGAGATGTTGTAGAAAGAGTGGGCAGTTGGACCAAATGGTCAGAATCTGGACTGGTATAAGAAAGTGGAATGTTTACCCCAAATGAATGTTCTAGCAAGTCAGCTACTGAAGATATAATAGCCTTTGTGATTGCCATTCATATCCTTTCCCAAAATGGTGCTGTTGCAGACCTCCAAAAACATCTCAATAGCATTTCCTAATTTTGGCTATAGGCCAAAGCCATAATTATAGGAGATGCACAAAATGGACCCATATTCCTTACCTAGGACTAGAATTATAGATTGTTTCCAGGATTTGTTTTTGTTGTGGGAAATGATTAAACCCCACATCAGTAAAAAACCCCAATATCAAGTAAAGACCAGTCTAAGAATTCAGAATCTTTCTTGACTTACCAGATCTCCCAGTATATTACCAAGACTTGAGCTATACCTCTTTCTTCAGATCTTGTTGGACTTAGAGATTGACTTCAGTAATAACTAGTTTGGAGTATTTGTTTCAGTACTCCCCCATTCAAATTGTCAGGATTTGAACAACCCAGAGGCTATGGCACTCTTTTCCAGGTTTCTCCTAGTCTGACCAGAGAGGTAGTGTATCTCCCAGGTTGAGCTGAGCAAAACCTTATTCCTTGTATTCCTCATTCTAAAGAAATACGTATGGAAAATACCTTTTCTGGATCTTGGTAAACTAAAGTTAATAGTAAGTGAGAGGTTTAAAATGGCATCCCTCAGAAAAATCTGGTAAGAGTCCTGGCTGTCTAAGTCAAAGCTGAAGGCTTCTTGATTATACATTCCCAACTCCCAGACCACAAGAGCCTTCTCTGTCTCATGGTGTTTGTTGACGTTTTCTGTTTTAGAGCTTTTCCTTCTGACAAAACCCTGTGTGACACCAGCCTGGGCATCACTATCATTTCATATCGGACGGGTTATATCAATGGCCCATCCCACATTTGGACTGTAAAAAAAGGGGAGGTGGTGGCCCTCGGTGAAACTT